ATATGAAGAGAGGACGAGGTGTTGAACCTTCTCTCTTCAAGACTCAAGTGTTCAATCATGAGATCACTGTGACCCCCACTCTCCTTGCCAGTATTCTGGCATTGCCTCGTCTGGATCATCAGGCTGGATTCAATGGCGAGTTTGATGACCTTGGGTTTGATTATCACATGGCACTGAACGTGTTCACCAGTGACACTGGTCGTCACTATCCAAACATGCTGTCTGCTAGGGGTGGCTATTTGGACCGTGACCGGATTAAAAACCGGAAACCGGACCGTATAACCCGGACCGAGACCGGACCGGGACCGGATAGTAAACAATCCAATCCAATCTTTGGGCTTAGATTTGAGGTAAAAAACCGGATAAAGACCGGATAAGAGAGCTCAACACCCAAAACTTAAGGGTAATTTGCATAAACGGTCACAAACCTTTGCACTTAGTACAAAACTTAACCAACTGCTCACCCTTTAAGGCTTTAGGCCACTCAAATCCCACAATCTCAATGTAAAATCAAGACCGAATCGGGACCGGACCGGATCAAAACCGGACCGGATCAAGACCGGACTGTATCCAATCCAATCTTCGGTCCTTATATTTTCAAAAAGACCGGACTGGACCGGATCAATTTGGGCCAATTTAACCGGACCGGACCGTATAGCCACCCCTACTGTCTGCTGGGCGCTTGCCCGATGATCTCAAGGTGTTTCAATTCTTTATCACCCGCTGTTTACTCCCAAGGGATCTCTCTAGTGCTGAACTTCTTCACCCCTCAGATCTTTGGATAATTTCCAATGCCAAAGCTGGTCAGCGCATTAGCTATGCTTCCTTGGTGTTTGCTCATATGCTGCGCTTTGGTGATGGTGGTTATAGTGGACCTCTTCCTTTCGGTCCCTATATAACTCGCCTTCTCTATCGTCTGGGTATTGATTTGCGTGATAAGATCACTATCTGCAATATTCATGATGATCTTCGCCCTAATCATGTTCTGAATCGGTTGGATGCGGATGTGGGCCGTCGAAAGCCTGTCTCAGGCTCAGGGGGAGAAGTTGATCACCATTTCGTGATATCTTGTGAGCTGGTTAATGCCTTGATGAATGCTGCTGAAGCTGCTGTGGCAATTGAGATAGATAAGTATCAGGAGGATCCTTCCAGCAGCTGTTCTGGTAAAAGAAGGGTACCAGCTAGTCTGCTGAGTTTTCAAGAACGACTGAAAACCCTGAAAGCAGAGCAAGATGATCAGCCAATCTTGGAGCCTATCTCAGATGACTCTGATTCTGAGAATGAGGATAAGATTTCTGATTATGACTCTCCTCCGGAATATCCCTTCTGAAGGAAATTGGTAGTTGGCAGTGACCTAGGTTATTCTGTGTTAGAAGCCGGTTTTCCACTTAGTGAAAATGTTGATCCATAATGGATCTAGTTTGATTTCTAATGAATAAAACAAATTTTTGATTTTTTTGTGTCTGACTTGAATTTGTTTAGAACAGGCTGCACCAATTGTTTGCTGAATGGTTGCAGGACTGATGAAATGGTGAGAGAGCCATTGACAGGCTTAGGGGGAGCTTGTTGAGAAAAGCCAGCCAATGGCTCGACTAACAAAAGCAAACAAGGAAAGAATGGTGAAATTCAAATCACAAATCCAAAGAAGGAAGGTGGCACTGATTATTGAAATCACGTCTAGCATACAAGGAAAGCTGCAACGGGCACAAAGAGTTCAGTATAAATAGAAGAGCTTAGATCAGAATTAGATGGCTTTTTGATTGATCATTTTATACTGTGATAGCAAAAGAGTGTTGCTAGTATAGTCTGAGACGAAAAGCAGGAGTGTTGAATTCGGGGAGAATTCGGGTTGAGTGTTTGAGATAACATCATAGCTGGATAGCTGGGTTGGTGAGATTGATAGTTCTGAGAGAATACTCTGATTGTAGTTCTTAAACTGAGATCAGGGTTGAGTAACGTCAGAAGCCACAGGATCGTGAGCTTCTGACCGTGGATTAGTCGACTGTGCAATTTGCCGGTCTGATACCACGTAAAAATTCGGGTGTCCTTGTCGTGTGTTTTATTGTTATTTCATTATGTGCTGTGAGGTACTCTGTTTTGGTTAATTCTCTAAGTGCAGGAAAGCAGAGTTCTCGACAGGGAATATTGAGGAAGAAGAAGTTCTTCTTCTGGAATAAGCAAAACGCAGAGCATCGCCTAATTGGGTTTGTAAGTCCTTTTGGGCTTGCTGGTAAGAACGGAATTGAAGCCTGTAGTAATAACGAATCTGTTCCCTTGAGCTTTTGGGCCTTAGGCCTGGTTGTCTGGTTTGTGTTTATTGTCACATAAGACTAAGTAGTGAAGGTGCTTCCCATTCGATTGAAATCCCTAAAACCAGAACTCACATTTGATCTTATCAAAAGTAGATCGGAGATTTCTTTTGTTGCAGAATCTCCATTGACGAACAGACAACGAACGATTAAGGTGTGGAGCTCTCTTCTCGGCTGATCGTCTCGCGCTCAACGATCCAACATTGACTTTCCTCCTATATAAGAATATCACATTTCAAACTCTTTAGTCGTAATTCAATGGGGGTAATGTCATTGTTAATTAAGAACAGTAATGATTTTCTATATGCATGATTCCTATCAATGGGCGGGAGGAACAACAACAAAGAGGCTCGTGTCACGCTTGTAGCAACAATTAAGACTTCAGATCAATACATGATAAATAATGATAATGATAGTAATAATAATAGGCAAGGTTCCCATATATTATGCCCAAAAGTAATCGATCCCTCCCACCGCCAGTTTCTATATGATGCGCTTACTTGTCCAATTAAGTAATTCTCCTCCCGCAATTCGTGCATTCATCTCAGATATGGTGGTGCCGACTATGCTTTGGAGTCATATATAGACAAAAGAAGAATGCAGAAATAAAATTTTGGAATAAAAAAATGAATTAAGAATCAAGAATTAAATTGAGTGAGACTACTACTCCATGACCTGTACGTGTTGTTGTTTAGCGATGGAGGCTTGCACATATGCCGGTTTTGGAACGAAGCTAAAGTTGGACTAGTATAAAAGCAAGGTCCCGGCTACACTGATTTCTCACCCTGATTTCACATATATCGATCGATCGCAATACATAAAGAGAAAAACAAAGAGAATGGGCTGCGCGTCGAGAGTAGCGGTCGTGGCGGTTCTGCTTCTGGGCATCTTGAGTGTGGCCGTTGACAGTGCCGATACGAGGATCCTCAAAGGACCTGACTGCAGGGGCCATTCCAAGGATAAGGAATACAACAAGAGAATGAAGACTCTACTTGATATCTTTGTGAGCGACACTAAGAACGTTGGCAGGCATCATGGGGATTACGTCTACACCCATAGTTTCCCCAATTCCGACAAAGGTTCTGTCACTGGTCAGGCCATTTGCGACTCCCGCTTATGGAAATGGGGTTGTGGGAAATGTCTCGGCGACGCCAGCAAATACATCCACCGCAATTGTGGCTCTACCCTCAATGCTACCATAATACTCGTCGACTGTTCTATCTCAGTCCACAAGATATGACTTCCGTGTCTGCCTCCTAGCTCCTCTACTACTACTACACGCTCCTATCTCTTTTTTCATTTTTTTCATTCTCCAAGTTGTATTCGGGATCACGCCTACTAGTCTACCTGTACTATCCGCCCACAAGTTCGTGCAAATGACTTAATTATATTAATCTCCATATTTAATATATATTGTCCATTTTCTATGGTTGCTAAGTAGTATATATTTATTACAAACGAATAATATAAAATAAAAATACCCACCCATCTCACCATAAATCGCTCACACTATTTATTATTCTAAAGTATAAGCCCATTTATGTTATCTTATAATCAATGCTATTTTGTTGGGGGAGGAGGAAACTATAGATCATTTATACTTCCTCTGTACGGTGGCTGAGGCTTTGTGGGGGATGTTAGAATGGATTGTTTTACCGTGATTACTAAAATTTGTACCATTCATTATCTATATTTTATCCTATTTTTAAATTTACGTTACAGATTAGATTGAGGGTATTTTTGGAAATAAAAAAATTATCACAACTGATTTCTATTCCTTAAAACCTTATCTCTCTCCAGTCTCCACCCATCCTTCTCAGCCGTCTCCCTCTCTCTCTCCAACGATAAGCTCCAGCCGTCCACGATTACGGTTATGATAAATCACTTGAGTATTCTTTTAAGTCGGATTATAGAGTAACCTCGGCTGAGTTTATTCATAATCCCTCAACAATTCCCACTATATTTGATGCACCTGCTGGGAAATTGCTATGATCCTTGAATGTTCCTCCTAAGCTTCATTTCTTCCTATACTGTCTCATCAAAGGTTACCTGCCCAAGGAGTTCATTTCTTCAGAGGGTGTGAAGTATCTTGTTTGTTCGGAGGGTCCCGAAACTATGTTATACTTGTTCATGCATTGTAGGGTGACCGTGGAATTTTGGAACCTTGTTAGTCTTAATCATTTACGACTACATGTTTTCCATATGCATGTTTTTGTGGGTTTGCGATGGTGTCTTTTTTCATGCAGGTATTCCCAAGGAGTTCTTTAATTAGTCGACTAGTATTTGAATTTTGGCGCGTTTCAGAGACCCAGTGCTCCACGCCTCCACCACTTATGATGGTATTCAGTTCCTGCCATCTACCATGATGGGACAATTCCATTCACAAGTGGAAGAATGGAATTCTATTCAAGCAGGTTTGGCTGCCTCAAGTAATGATTAGCTTGGAGCACCACATGATGAACCGGACCTATACAGAAGAATTTCTGCATATGTTTAATGGTTTTACTTTTAGGGCTATACTGAAGGAAAATTTCATGAATTCGTTTCAAACAATCATCTATAGTTTGCAATCCATAAAATAAGAAAAAAATCATCTCCAATTAAAAAACAAAATAATAATTGTTTAACGTAAATAAATAAATAATGAACGAAAAACTGCAAAACATATTTCGAACTGAGCGTATCATTCATTCAGGAGCAGATCTTGTCGAACCAAAGAGAACAATCATGGAGCCTCACGCTAGCCTTTATGGGATCCGCACATCCCTCAACCAACCTCTTCCTCGCAGCGACAAGGCAGCCCCAGCATTCCGTCTTCCCAAGGGCAACGTCGCAGGTAGCGCCGCCGGTCGCCGATCCGACCTCGGAATCCGGGAAATCGACTGTGTACCTGTAATTGCTGTTCTCTTTCCTGTGCACGTTCCTGGTGTCCTGCACTAAGAGCTCCAGCAGACGTGCGACGCTCTTGTCGTAGCCGTTGTTTTTGGATTTCCCCGTGCAGCTGGCACCTCTCAGGATGCTTATGTCGGGACCCTTTCTGCCCTCGGCTACGGCGGAAAGTGCCACAATCGCCAGAACTGCGGCCACCGCCGCCAATGTCGACCTGCTGCAGTATTTCATTTTCTGCCTGCGCTATAAAACTCAATGCGTACGATGTGTTTGAATTGTGTTTCTACTTGTTTGCTTGGTTGGATTTGTTGTAGGATGGGAAATTACAGTCACTCTTGGAGCACATTTTATAGTACACTGTCATGTCCCTGCCAGTGCTGCCACAAACATGAATGTTGACACTAGCTGTGTATTATTCGACAGACAAACCGCAGCGAACCGGACAACAGGTTTCGCTCATGCTTAGAGAGTAATGTTAATCTTATATAAAAAAAAAGGTGGGGTTTGCCACACGAGATATTAGATCGGATTGAGAAATTCACAATACAAGAAAATAAATAATATGCAGATTTATATGGTTCACTAATATAATGTGTGTTAGTTAGTCCATAAACAAGAGAGTGTCAGTTTCAACATAATTGAAGAGATACAAATCACAACAATTGAGAAGGTATATTGTATAATCCAGCTTGGAAATGAAAACTCTACAAACTGGCCAAATCAAACAAATAAATGTGTATAAGTCATACTCCAGTCGATGGCAAATAATTTGTCTTCAAGTCATAGCAACACGAAATATATATTCATAATAGTTTATTCCTAGAGTATACAATAATATCATATTTAAGTCATGAATTAATGGAAGGTTAAGGTATTATATTATGCTCTAATTAGTAATGGGTAATTTCACACTTTCTAATTCCTGGAACTCAAATACTAAAATCATTTTGATTATAAAAATAATCAAAAATAATTATTCATCGAAATACACATAATAATAATATGAGTAATTTTATAATGCTTTAAAGAATTGATACTTTAATTTTTTTGTCTTTATGTACAACTTGAAGTTGTACGTTTAACGTAATGTTACAACTTCAGGTTGTACTTATACTCTTTTGTATAAATCTATTTATGGTACAACTAAAGTTGTACATATATAAAGGTCCAAATTCTTTTATGGTACAACTTTAATTTGTATTTTTAAGGTTATGGTACAACTTAAAATTGTACTTTAAAGAACCAATGTTTTAAATCGCAGTGAAAATACTCATGATTGTTTACTAATTAAATGTTGTGATACTTCATATCATATGAAATAAATGATGCAATGCATACCCGACAGGTTATTAACTTATTATCAATCCAGGCATGTCTTTGGTTGTCATTTTCCCCTCGATCCTTTCACCTATCCCTCAACTAATTTCTTTTTGTCTCAAGTGCTAGTTCAGACAAGAAAACGCATTACACAACGAAACAGGAGGATTAATTAGGGGCGATGATGCTGCAACTCGTATTTACTCCAAATATTTAACATACCCCTGGGATTGTATAGCGTGGAACAGGTTGTCTATCTCGCTTCTACTTGTTGCCGTATGTTCTCCTTCTTCATCTAGCGACCAGAGTACAGGAAGGACTTTTTAGTAAGTACCTAATTCTAATAACTTTGAATTAAAACTTAAGGAGAGAATCTGGGAAAGTGATTGTGAGACGTATTTGGGGGAGTGGAAGAGGCGGTATTGTCTGAGACTCTTTTCATTTCATTTCTGCCTTCTCCCTTAATTAGCAAACCAGACTCCTCATCTAGCTACGGAAAATACCAGCGACGCGACCGTCCTCATACAATGGATGACTACATTAGCAATGACAACGACAGAGAATGGGGGGAGCCGAACCTACGTGTATATTTGGGTTCGACCTGAACAGTCCCATTGACAAGCAACGACGAGGATATATTCGACTGTGTAGCTTAGCAGACGGATCTAGAGGAGAATGGCGGTGATGTGTGCATGGTTGACGTTGACAACGTTCTAGACGTGGAGGAGACGGTCAACGAAGATTGTCTTGAACGGTACGAAAACACGGACAACGTTCAATGTGGCCTCGGTGTGGAGAACAATGACGAGTTCGTGCCGCATTCCGGTGATCGCGTTGATGTCGACGACGGCGTGGACGACAACAATGGTGATAGGGTTAACCTATGTCATTACGATTTCTTTTGCATTTGTACCGTTTTAGTAGTGGTACTAATATTGTTTTGTGAAAAATGTACTAGTAGTTATGGTTCAAGTTAGCTAGTGGTAGTATTATTGTAGTGGTAGGCTCCTAGTGGTAGTCATCTAGGGGTAGTCATCTAGTAGTAGTTAGTGGTACTTCCCTAGCTAGTGGTATCGGAATACGGGTAGAGGGTTAAATAGTTCGATTTGCTAATGCATCTGTTCTTTAAATACATGTTTGTTATCAACCATCGTCCCATCAGGCAGTTCAACGTGGAATCACTTGCGTTTCCAGTCCTACCAACATCACTGAAGTTGTACCAGTACTAGTCACATCAAGGTTACTAGTAACATTAATTTGGTACCAATCTTATTAATCATACCAGTACACCTGTTTTTGTAACAAACTGACTAATGGTTACTAGTAGCATGATTTTGGTACCACAACCATTGATTTCGTACTAGTAACATTAATTTGGTACCAATTTTATTAATGGAACTAGTGGAATTAATATAGACAATGACTTATTATTGTGAATTAGTAATGGATACTAGTACCACTAATTTGGTACCAGTCTTATTAATGCTACTAGTAGCACTGGATTTGGTTCCACGGTGAGTACTTGTTGCTAGTATCATGATTTAGGTACCAGTAACATTGATTTGGTACTAGTACAGTTAAACCAGTAGCAGTGAAGGGTTATCTCTAAAACCACAAGTGCCCAACTATGTAGTTAAAATAAATAGGGAGAAGGTACTGAATTTTCACAATCAAGCACCAAACCAATTGTGCCAATATAATGTAAGCACCAATACTTTGTCCAAGATCAAATTAAAGACAACAAACACCAAAAAACTTGCTCATGCTTGCACACGTACATGAATCCATGATTCTACTACTACTGTGACACTTGAGTATATCCACGTGTTAGTGCCTCGTGCATATCTGTAGCTTTACCATTCATTTCCTCAAGTTGCAAATTACTCGGGTCTTCAATGGTTTTCTAGACCATTTGAGCAGACCTAATCCTTAGATAAGTTTGTCCACACCATTCTCTCTTCCAATCGCTCAAAAGTTTCTCTTCCCACAACTCACAGTAGTTGAAGCAAACGATGCCCGTGTGTCTCTTCATGGATGTTAATACATGTCACTTGACGCCAAGGGAAATTGCCCCAGTCGAACTTTAGCTCCCACACCACTTCCATGTGCTAAATCAAAACATTTGTCACATGCTCAACCAAGTGTTTTTAGGAAGGATCTAAATTTGCCACCGCTGGCATCAAAGAACTTGAACTTCCTGTCTTCCAAGTTAACATAATACAACACCATTTTGGAGGCAGCAAGTAAGGCAAGAACGATTGTAAAAAAAAAAAGAATAAAGCAAAATAAGTGAGAGTGTGAAAATTCGGAATCCACTTGATTCACCTTGTACTGGTAGCATTGGTGAACCAGTACAACTAGGACTTAAATAACATCAATATAAAGTATCGAGAGTAGAGGTTGTTTGAAATATTTTGACCGCAAATCCGTGAGTGAATACCCATCTAGTGATTGACCCAGTGTTGTCGGTTTTCCTATTCAGGTAGTCGGCGTATAAGTCAACAAAATTGGTGGCCATGGCGTTGCCAAATATGATTTGTCTTCGTATCGCTCTACTTAGGGAAAAATGACTACCGTCAAAAGCGCTCAACACTTCAGTATCATCCTTAGCATATTGGGACATTCCTGCAACAGCACAAGTAGAATGATATCACTACAAGTACTACTAGCAATGTAGAATGTTACTGGTACAATACTACTACTAATAAGCTAGAATGTTATTGGTACCAATCAGTATGTACTAGTTATGTTTCATTGTACTACTACAAATCAAACAGTATATGTGCCACTACAAATAGAACAAGTTGTGTCATTCCATTAGACTACCACTGTTAGCATACTGTCATTTGGACCAATAATACAACTACAATTATAATTGGTACCAATAGAAAACTACCATTCAATCATACCAAAATGAATAGAACTGGTAACTGAAGCCCTCATAATTGGTACTTGTACCAATAAGTGTCTATTGGTATAGATTCATTGTTCCTCGTACAAAAGCAGTCAGTGTTACAATCTGCTACAGTCAGTGTTAGAACAAGTTATAGCATACATTAAACTAGCATTATTAGCATATCAAAGCTATGGGTATCAGTACCACAACCTCTAGCATTGGTATGAGTGGATCATACCAACACCAAACAAAAAAGACAGGACTGCATGTGGCTTATTCCAACGTTGCGACCAAAAAACAAAAGCCAGTAATGTAAAGAAACCTCACTGTCGCACTTAACAGGAAGGAGATCAAAAACTAGGTTACCAAACCAGAATTTCATAGCAAAAAACGAAGTGGGGAGGAGCGACAGCATCGACATTCGACAAATTGGGGCGAAAAAGCAAGCATCAACGGAGATCGACCACAAATAACCATGCAAAAGTTGTGGTTGTACCCGAATTACATCCTGCCCCCAAACAAAAAAATATTCACACTCAAATTGGATCGGACGCGAAATTCTACCAAGACATGCCGCCAAAAACGATCGGAGACTGTGGAAGGGAAGTCTTTGGGAGAAGACGGAGAAAAAGGATTTTTGGGGGCGCAACGAACAGGCGGGGAGACGAAAGGTTCGACGAGGAGGGTGGCTAATTTCTCTCCCCAAGCGATTTCTTTGTCTTTTCAAAAAAGGTTGACGTTAGCGATCTAGTGGGAGTCGGATTCAATGTGAGAGCTCTCTTTTTTGCCCCTACCCATCTTCAACCATTGGATGGATGAATAGAAGGACGGACGACAACAAGGGGGAAGCAAAATTGACAACCCCTTAGAGGTTGTCACGCTATCCAATCCCGACATATCCCGATATACGTCTCCATTATCTATTTTTTATATGGACAATCAAAAAATTTACTACGCGAACGGAGGGAATTCCAATCGAATCTTCCCACAAATATAAAGTGTTCCAACATAAACTACGTTATCACAAGACCAAAGAATACTGTTTACAGCCTACCATAACTCAAAAGACAAATGGACGATGACTATCACTAACTCCCCTAATTCCTATCCTTCAAATTATATAAGGACGTTCTTCTTCCGCACCTCCTTCATTCTCCTTTTCTTGGCTTCTGCGTATATTGAGGAAGGAGTCCTTTGTCTTTTTGTTTTTTATTTTTTAAGTCAGAAATCAAGCTTCTTAGGTTCTTTTCTGTGTATAACTGTATATATATTTGCGATCCTAATATGTTTTTGGACCTGACTGAATGCTTTTTTGTTTTTATTGATTAGGCCACAGGGAAGGCATTTACACGGCAACATCATTGAATAAAGCAAAAGGACCTAACTCAACTTATTCAACAAAGTCAAAATTAGTGGTATTCAAAGGACTGTCATGATAATAACCTACTACTTAAATTCTATTAACGATGAAATACAATATTATAAACAAATCGATCAAATTAATACAACAACCAAATTAACCACACTAAAATTTAATCATTTGATTAATTGGTTAATTGTGTTAACCAATATATCATACATTATCATTACCTGGCAATTTTTTTGCTTTAAGCAATCATTTTCACACTAATTAACTATGAAATATAATCACAACAACACATATTTAGGGATGGGTAATTCATCAAAAAAATGACAACTGTCTAAGGTTGGGCATATATTTCCATGTAGAATTATCAAACAACTACATATATCCAAACAACTATACAATTCTATAAATCTAGCTTCAAAAATTGAATGCAAGTACATACATTTTTATTAGACGACGAAATTGTTGCTCTCTATCTTACATTTTCATAAATTAATTTGCACAAATCATAGTTGAAGAGAATTGATCAACCATTGACAAGATTAGCAAGAAGGAAACATGTTCTTTACATAAGATACAACAATTTGGTAAATTTTTTTCAGTTTAGATGGTTATTGATAAATTCTTTTACTTCGAACGTATTAGAAAATAAATTTCTAAAACTTAGTCTACCACATAATTATTTATTAGCATTACTAGCTGCAAAAGATAAATTTTACGTTCCTTCAAAAATATAGTCAATTAATTTGCTTAATTTTTTCTGATGAATCGGCTTTATGTTTTATGGCCCATGTGCATTCAAGGACCTAAAGCTCTATGTGCATCTAATAGTGTACGTCAAAATGTTTTCCCAAGGGGATCCGCGAGCAAACAACTACCGATAGCAATGGTTTGTAAGGTATCGGTGGCGAGAGAACAACTAATCATTCATGGTGAATATAGTCTCACTATATAACCGGTTGATTGGTCATATACGTATTGTTGCAAATTCAATCTCACATCATACCAAAGATTCCAAAGAAAGCAAATTGGGGATAATGTTCATAAATTAGATGAGGTAAATTCTACCTTTGTTCGATGAATTGTAGCATAAGAAAAAATGAAAGACTATTGGAATACAAGAGAACAAGGAAGATACAATTGATAATTGATATAGATGTGTCATTATTGCAGATGAAGACGTAATTATTGATGGAGATTATGATGCTACTCACAGTAGAGGAAACACAAACAAGGCCAAAAATATGCAATAATTTATATGAAAGAGGAGTAAATGAAATTTTCATTTGAACAATTTGTTACCAGTCGATTACTTGGTTTGGGGACTATTTTGTATATTCGTTAACGATTTTAGACGATGAACCGGTTAGGGTGTGGGAAAATATTATGAAGTTAATCCTTTCTTCTGTTTCCAATTACTAAATAATTTGGATGCTATTATGCTATCATATAAATATGTATAATGCTTGACTTTTGCTTGTAATTTTATTTATTTCAATCTACAAAATAAATCCGACCAATTGGTTGAGCCTATCTTGCTTGGAACAATTACTATTGTTGATCATACCATTTACGAAGTGCATCCGGCCAACGGGCGGGTCCGAATCTAGTTCCTATAACTGATGATCGTTCTGCAGTCAACTTCTAGCTCTGTATTCCCTACTCGTTCTAAGTCCAACTTCCAGTTTTTTTCTTTTATGAATAAGTTGTTTTATTCATCAAGAAAGGGAGGCCCTATATGGGAAAATCCTCCCTAACTGGAAAACTCAGTTTACAGACCAAACAAGACAACAAATAACAATACAATACACAGAGGGGAACAAAACACTAACTAAACATCATACTTCGACACCTAAACTGCTAACAAAATCATCAGATATTGCAACAGCTACTTGAGGAATGCCATTCTTTAGCAGCTGCAGCAAACTTCGTATCTTCCCAACGAATTGACCGACATCCAACGATTCACCTGCCATAACTCTCCGACATCTTTCCCTCCACAGTTCAGCCACCACCATAACCCACAGCAGTCTTCCCCGATCAGAGGTAGTACAATTCAATCGAAATAAAGACACAGCCATCGCCAGAGATTCTTCCCAGCTGGCACCCACCATATTTCGTCCATCAAACAGAGCTCGGATCACATTTTTTGAATAAGAACAAGCAAAAAAGAGGTGATCTCTAGATTCCTTAGCAGAGGAGCATAGTGGACAGGTGCTAGCAACTAAAGGATTCCACTTCTGCACCTTATCTAGCGTGGTAATCCTATTTAGAATGACAAGCCAGACAATCATCTTGTCCCTAGGAGTCCCATAGGACTTCCAAACCAACGAATACCATGGAATCCTCCCATGTTTAACACGAAGGGTATCCCATATCCTTTTAACAGAGAATGTAGCCATCACAGTATCATCCTAAAACACACCAGTAGAACGAACCCTGAGGTGCTGAGAAGCAAGTGGTCGAATCTTCAGCACTTTCCTCCAGGCCCATGAGCAAGGAATAGAAGTAGAGATATCCCAGATCGAGGTGTAGCTGAGCTGATAGTGTCTGACCCAAGTAGCCCATAAAGAAGAAGAATTAGAAGAGATAGCCCAAAAGTGTCTAACCAAACAAGCCATATTCGAGCTTCTCAGATCTTTAAACCCCAGACCCCCTCCTTTTTAGGCCTAGCTACCACCTCACAGATCACCTTCGCCTTCTTCCCATCCTCCCCTGCACTCCAAAGGAAATTAGAACATGCCTTCTCCACCATTTTCAGTACTTTTACTGGGAGCTGAAGTATTCTCATCCAATACTAGGTTATACTTGAAATAACAGCAGAAATAAGCTGAAACTTATCAGCATAGGATAAGGTTTTTGCCTTCCAGCCTCTAATCCTGGTAGTGATCCTATCCACCAGTGCAGCACAGTCTGCAGAATTCAATTTTCCAGCAATCAATGGGATACCCAGATAACGCACAAGAAATTTTCCTATAGCAAACCCAGTTCTAGAGGATATTAGGGCTTGAACAGAAGGATCCGCACCTCCACAAAACACTTCACTCTTGGCAGGATTACACTTCAACCCAGAAACCACATAAAAAGCATCCAGAATGGATTTTGTTTGCCCCACAGCCTCAAGAGTCCCCTTGGTGAAGATCAGCAGATCATCAGCAAAACAAAGATGAGACAGCCCTATTCTATGTGTTTGAGGGTGAGGAGGAAGAGTTGTTATGGCATAAGCTCTATTTAGCATGCAGGAGAGGACTTCCATGGCTATGGTAGAGAGATAAGGGGAGATAGGATCCCCTTGTCTGAACCCTTTCTGTGCTGAAAAGTATCCACAAAGCCCCCCATTGAAACACACACTCAGTTTAGTGCTATGGAGACAAACCCTTATCCAGGTTATAAACTGAGTTGGGAACTTTATAGCTTCCATGACAGTTTCTAAGTAATGCCAGTCAACACTGTCAAATGCTTTCATTACATCCACTTTGAGGGCACATCTATGGGAGATAGTTTTCCTATTATACAACCAAACCATCTCATTAGCCAGAAGGATATTGTCACTAATTAGCCTACCTTTTATGAATGTAGATTGGTTCTGACTAATGACTAAGGGAAGAACTTCCTTTAACCTATTAGCAAGAACTTTTTCAATGCACTTATATAGTATATTGCAGCAAGATATGAGCCTAAATTGCTTCATACACTCTGCATTCAGCACCTTTGGAATAAGAGCTAGGTAAGTAGAGTTTACCTCTAAGAGTAGTTTTCCTGTTCTGAAAAAATCCAACACTACAGTAGTGATATCATCACCTAGAATCTCCCAATTAAACTGAAAGAAACCCGTTGTGAAGCCATCTGGACCAGGTGACTTCTCTCCATTCATAGAGAACAGAGCTGTTCTAACTTCCTCTCTGGATATTGGGCTACAAAAGGCTCTGATTGACCAGAGCTTAGCTTGTGGACTAGTAACTAGGATATCAGACTGCTGTTTACCCTCTGGACCTCAGGATTCCTTGTACCCAACAGATTTTGGTAAAACCGGATAGCTTCCTCACTCATTTCTTTGACATCAGTTAAGACTACTCCCTCCTCAGAAATGATCTTCTTAATATTTGAACGAGCCTGATGTGACTCTACATAATTGTGAAAAAATGAGGTATTCAGGTCAACAGTCTTGACCCAGAGGATCCTAGACTTTTGCCTGTAAATAACATCTTCTTCCTTGAGCAGAGCCGAGAGCTGAGTCTAATAATCAGTTACTTCCTTAAACGATTTATAGGAAGGCTGGGAGAGGGCTGCCAACTGCAATACTTCAAGTTCTTCCTTTGCAAGCCGCACCC